AAACAGAAGAAAAAAAGCCTAAAAAAAAGGAAAACTATTGCAGTAATCACATCTAAGAATTAGCTATCTGCAATATAATAAATGTTTGCTGATGGGTTTAAAACTGCTTTAATTATAAAGTATTGAACATACAGTGTAGTATGGTAAAGAGAGTTTGCTATCCAATTCTTTAATTTGGAAGCTGAAAGCCGGAGATGGAAGAGAAATGTGTCACCCAAACAAGTAGATGTTTACTGTTACAGAGGTCTGGCACAACAAGTGATGCTTGTTACCATGGTTTCAAAAACAAAAAAGACTGGAAAAGCACATTTAAACTTGTTCTTTCAAAACAATTTAGGATCATTTAGGTTTTCCAGCTACAAATTTGATATTTAAATCCATATTTCATACATACATTTAAGAAATAATACAGGACGGAAAAGTTCAGACATGCAGGATTAGCATTAATAACTGATACATATGTATTTTAAGTCTTCCCGTCAAATGCTCTTATATAATGAAAGTTTTCTTTTAACCCCATTTTATCCTCCAGAATCAATCTCTTTCTACTCAGTTGTTGTGTATCACTTATGCCAATTGTAAATAGAAATGATTAAAAAAGGTACATTTTAAATATATGAATACACATCCTTAATAAAATAAAACAGTGAAATCAAACTGGGTTACCTTGCTGTAAATGTTTTGCTAATAAGTTCAATGCATTCTTGCTCTTCCAGTTTTTGCATAGTGTAGTTTTTGTACATTTCTTAGACTAGTTGCAGCACGGCATGATCAATATATTGCAGATATACAATATTTAGAGACATAGAGGAAAAATTTGAGTTACTGCTGCACTATTCTTTTAACAGAAGTTGATCTATTGCATTTCATTGTGTTCATAATTGGTTTCAGAAATCATCCCTGATATTTTTGATCCCTGCCCAAAGTCTTCTATTCAATTAAAAATAATCTTATCCTGTTACACATTGATGTCTTTAAAGTGTCATTTAACCCACATCATTAAAACTTATCAATAAATGCTGTATTACATGCTGTTCGTACTCACTATGGAATACGGATTCTGTTGATCCCACTGTTCTCTGTCTTCCTCTTCTGTCCATGTCCCCAATGCAGCTGAGTATTTTCCAGAGCAGTGTTGGCAGCCAATGCACATGCTTAGTTTTCAGTGTGTTTTCTACTCTGAGCATTTCCTCCCTATCACATTTGAGCAGCCCATTTGACTATAGAGTGACACATGTGGGTGTGTATACAGTGGTAAATGACAGCCCACTCCCTCCTTCACCATGCCCACTAACCAGCTAAACAATATGGGGGTGGGATGTTACATTGTGATTGATGGAGGCATCACCTCCCTGTTATTGCAAGACACTGAAGGAGCATGACACAGCCTGTGATTGACACAGAATTCTGTTCAACCATGCTATTGCCAAAAATAGATTTCCTTTCAAATATTTGTATAACAATTTAAAACAGTTTATTGATATTAATTATTTATTTTTAATCTGTATCCCAAAGGCTGTTTTTTTTAACATGTGACCAACAGCAGAGAAATAGAATCTCCTACTGTCACTGTTTCCCTGCACACAGGCTGGGAAAGAGCTGGGTCATGTAACAGCTGTATATTAATTAGGAACAAGGTACTTTTTTTAAAATTAAAATAATTACAGTGCTATCATTCCCATACAGAAAGAGTAGAGGTAATGTATATTAAACAGTGTGTTTAGTATCACTTGGGGACAGTTGCAATAAAAAATACTGATTTGTGTTTGTGTAATGGAAGGGAGGAATGACTGGTTGCTACCATCATTGTCAGAAAAGAACATGCGAGCCACAACACCCACATAATTATTTATTTTAGGGAGAAACTCTTGCTACTTGCCACTCAAGACCAGTGGGCCAACTGCAATCTGTACATAAAAGTCAATAGTCAGGGTGGTACATGAAACCCACACAGAAAGTTTGAGTTGTCACCACAGCAGTGGTAAAGAAAAAAAAAACTGCCAATAGGGAGAGCTGTTCAGGTGATATTTATCTAAGAGGGTATTTTGGAGAGATTTCCTCTCTTTCTTTTTTGTCTGCAGGACAATGGTACACAGACAAGAAATGGTACACAGGTACAAAAAGAAAAACTCTAACAGTAGTTTGACCACTTGCCTACCGGGCACTTATATCCCCTTCCTGCCCAGGCCAATTTTCAGCTTTCAGCGCTGTAGCACTTTGAATGACAATTGTGTGGTCATGCAACATGAAATTTTTATAATTTTTTTCACACAAATAGAGCTTTCTTTTGGTGGTATTTACTCACCGCTGAGTGTTTTATTTTTTGCACTATAAACAAAAAAGCGCACAAAATTAAAAAAAAAAAGATTTTCTTTGTTTCTATTATAAAATTTTGCAAACAGGTAATTTTTCTCCTTTACTGATGTGCGTTGATGAGGCTGCACTGATAGGCAGCATGGATAGGCAGCACTGATGAGGTAGCATGGATAGGCAGCACTGATGGGGTAGCATGGATAGGCAGCACTGATGGGCACTGATAGGCAGCACTGATGAGCTAGCACTGATGATGCGGCACGGATGATGCTGCACTGATATGCAACAATGATGGGCACTGATAGGTGGCACTGATGGGCAGCAATGATGGGCTCTGATGGGTGGCACTGACTGACGGCACTGACTGGCGGCACTGCTGAGCACTGACTAACGGGACTGCTGGGCACTGTTGGGTGGCACTGCTGGGCACGTTTGGTCTTCAGGAGGCATGTACAATTGTCTCCCCAGGCCGCCCCCTTCCCTCCCATCCACCCCATTTATTTTGTTCTTTATTAGCCTTGGTATCAGTCTTGAAGAAGGAACTCTGCGCACGCTCTGAAACGCGTCACCGCTCCACGCTCACGTCACTTCCGGTCTGTGGATCCCTGGACGGCCAGTGGTCCCAGAAAAGCGGTGGCCATCTTTGACATCCCATCTCAAGCTCCCCCTGCAGCTGCTGGCTGGCACAGCGGTTCCTTGCATAGTGGTCAGAGCCCGCATTTGACGGATTACTCAGAGCCTGTTTTTTACTGCTACACTGTAAGTGTTTTTAAGCACTTTTAAGCACTTTTATTAAAATTGAACCTGGATATACTGCACTTAGAAGCGCCTTCCTGTCTCATCTTCCTCCATGTAGAGTTTGCTTCCACTCTCAGAAGCGCTGTTCAGTACCTGTGTTCCAATCCACCACCCACCACTGACTGACATTCCTCCACAGCACCTTCCATTGATGCACCCTGCAACACATCTTCTCATCTTCTTTACTTTAACATAAAGCTGCACTAAATCCATTTTAGTGCAGCTCATTAATTCTTAAAGTGTTACTAAACCCACAACAGTAAAATCAGTCTGTATATGCAGTAAAGCATACTTGTTATACTCACTGTGGAACCTAAGAGGTTAATCCTCTGAATTGTGTAAAAAGGCTGTTTGCACCTTTCTTCTCTTTTCCTCCCATTTTTCCAGCGACCACCACTTATCTCCAGACTGAATTGTAGGCATACTCATGCTAAGTTTGGTGTGTATTACTAGAGAGATTTTTTTCTTTCTTGGGAGAGTGCATGTGATCAGCACAGGGCCAATCAGCACTGGTCAGACAGAGATCAGGGAATTTGTATCCTCCTAGAGCAAAAAAGAAAACTCCTCTTACAAGGTTAAGCTAGTGCTGGGCTGGACACAGAAGTCACAAGACTGCTCTAACTTCTGATGAGAAAAGGTATTTAGCAGTTTATCTTTACTAAAATAATTGCACTTCCATGTTCTGTGTACTGTGGGAGACCAGATATAGTAGATGCAGGGTCCTGGGTTTAGTAACACTTTAAATGTGGTGGCTACAATTCTTTTCTTTTTTTTAAGAGGCTTTTTTCCATTTATTTTCACCTGGTGATCCAACCAGTAAATTTGTTGTTTTTCAACCTCTTTTGAAAGTGGCAGTTACATTGTTGGATAAACGGTTTATTAATGATGGGATGCGTTAGCTGACAGTACATTAATTTATGCAAACCTTTTTCCCAATAGAAAAAAAAAAATGTTGCTTTAAATGTTTAAAGTGAGAACCAATGGCCCATACTGCTGTCAATCACAGTCAGTAAGGAGGAAGCGAGGGCAGGGCTGAGCCGTGGTCTGTGTGGCTGTAAGACACACCGAGGCACCTTGGGAGTGAGCAGGCATGAACGCCCTTAAAGCAAGCAGCTTGATCTGTGGGCACTCAGCAAGGGGAAGGAGCCAGGAGCACTGGCAGGGGACCCAGGAAGAGGGAGGATAGGGACTGCTCTGTGCAAAACCACTGCACAGAGCAGGTAAGTATATATGTTTGTTATTTTTAGAACAAAAAATGTGAACCTTTAGTACTTTAAAAGGGGGAGTTTAATCACTTAGTTAAGCCCTTCTAAATCTGGTAATGCATCTAACACTAACCTCTTCCCAGACTGCCAATGCTGATATCCAAAAGGTGTCTCCACTGCTCTACTACAGGAAAAAAAGTAAAATAAAAATAAAAAAACAAATGTGGCTACAACATTTAAATTGTAAGTTCTCCTTTGCAGAAAAAAATTAAAAGGTGAACTAACCCCCTACATACTCCCACCACAGCCCTCCCTGCATTAATCTTAATGGGTAATAGAGTTTCTTTCAACATCCACACAAGCCGGTGCAATGGTCATGGGTTTGAAAACAATGCTGCGCTTCCTCTTCTTTTTCCCTAGTGAAGCCTGGAAAGATCAGAGCGATTCTGATTGATCAACGCTGACACATGACCATGCTGATCAATCAAGGACAGTTAAATCTTTTAACTGGAACATGACATTCCAAGCTTTCACTAAATACACAATCCTTCTGTTTTCTCCTACTCTGGTTGATCAGAAATCACACTATATTTCCAAAGGTATTGAGACACCCCTCCAAATCATGGGGTTCAGGTGTTCCAATCACCTCCATGGGCACAGGTGTATAAAAACAAGCACTTAAGCATGCAGACTGCTCCTACAAACATTTGTGAAAGAATGGATCACTCTCAGGAGCTCAGTGAATTCAAGCGTGGTACCGTGATAGGTTGTCACCTGTGCAATAAGTCCATAATAAGTGAAATTTCCTTGCTACTAAATATTTCACAGTCAACTGTTAGTGGTATTATAACAATGTGGAAGCAACTGGGAACAACAGCAACTCAGCAATGAAGTGGTAGGCCACATAAAATGACAAAGCGGGGTCAGTGCATGTTGAACCACACGGTGCACAGAAGTCACCAACTGTCTGCAGAGTCAATAGATAAAGACCTCTAAACTTTGTCTGGCCTTTAAATTAGCACAGTGCGTAGAGAGCTTCATGGAATGGGTTTCCATGGACGAGCAGCTGCATCCAAGCCTTACATCACCAAGTGCAGTGCAAAGCGTCGGATGCAGTGGCGTAAAGCACACCGCCACTGGACTGTACAGCAGTAGAGATGTGTTCCTATCATGCTTCTTTGTCTGGCAATCCTATGGACGTGTCTGAGTTTGGCGGTTGCCAGGAGAATGTTACTTGCCTGACTGAATTGTGCCAAGTGTAAAGTTTGGTGGAGGGGGTATTATGTTGTGGGGTTGTATTCAGGGATGAACTTGGTCCCTTAGTTCCAGTGAAGGGAACTCTTTTTGGACAATTTCATGCTCCAAACTTTGTGGGAACAGTTTGGGGATGGCCCCTTCCTGTTCCAACATGACTGCACACCAGTGCACAAAGCAAGGTCCATAAAGACATGGGTGGGTGAGTTTGGGGTGGAGCAACTTGACTGGCTTGCACTTACTTGAATCCGATAGAAAACCTTTGGGATGAATTAGAGTGCAGACTGTGAGCCAGGCCTTCTCGCCTGACATCAGTGCCTGACCTCACAAATTCCCATAGACACACTCCTAAACCTTGTGGACAGCCTTCCCAGAAGAGTTGAAGCTGTTATAGCAGCAAAGGGTGGTCCAACTCAATATTGAACCCTACTGACTAAGACTAGGATGCCATTAAAGTTCATGTGCATTTAAAGGCAGGCGTCCCAATACTTTTGGCAATATAGTGTATTTCACAGCTCCTGCAAAGCATATAATTGGTATTTAGAAATAGACCAGAACACATTGTAAAAACACTTATCTATATCAGTTATTAGGTAAAACCTTAATGTGTTATTATGTTTAAAGTGTGAACATTGTGCCACTTTGTCTATAGTATATCAGCTTTCAAAGCAAAATTAAGATAGCAGGATGTTCTCATTGGAACAAGAGGTTTAAGCTAGCTATATATAATTAGATAGCTGAACCCTTAGCACATGCACAAACTAAGTTTGATGCTGGCACAGTTGTGCTGAAAACCATCTGCTATCATTCTTGTTGCCTACTGATTTTGTGTGTGGTAACATGAAAACAGAGAAATCGTGAAGCGCTGAGTAATTACATGGTGATGTGAATTGTTGCCTTTGGTCACGAAGAGAAAATCCTAATAGTATAGCAGAAGGCATTAAATATGACAGCAAAAATGTTTCAGGTTGCTGTATATTAATTGCTTATTAACTTCTCTCATTTTCCCTTAAGCACCACAAAGATAAATTGGTACTCCAGGGGCACCTCTCATTTCTGCTGTTGGAATCTGAAAAGTCACCATAAAACTTACTTTTTTTTTAAAAGCCGTATTTGATAAAACCGCACCTGGCAGCATATCTTTTTCTATTCACCCCTCCTGTGATTCTGATTTACAACAAATTGGATGAATGAGAGGTGTTATGGTTCTTTTACACCCAACATAGTTCAAATATATTAGCATTGCTGGGCGCCAGGTTCATCGTATATTGTAGGTAGAGAAAAAGATTATTCTGAAGATCAGCATGAGATCTATAGAAAATCATTGCAGCCATTTGTCGTTGTAAAGCTGAAAATTTCCTTTGGCTGTGTGAAAGAGACTCTTTCCTTGACTGCCTATGTGTGTCTGACTGCCTATGTGTGTGGCCAACAATAAATAATATTACAAAAATGACTTGATTAATTATGAATTTATACATCTCAAAAGAATGCATGTTGCTCTAATGCAGAGAAAATAAAATCAATGACGTAGATGTATGCGTATGTATTATCATTTAAATGTAGAGTAAAAGGCATGCCTAAAATAACAAAAATATGTGGTAGGAAATTAGCTTATTTAAAAAAATACTCCTTTTGCTTATAATTCAAAGACCTTTATTTGGCAATAACCAAGAATGTGCAATGAGGTATGAATTAAATAACCAATTTTATGCAGTTTATTATTATAGACAATTGAAAGATGGTTTCTGATTGGCTAATAATAATAGCTGCATGTTGCATACTGGTCTTTGCTTCGTTAACAGGCTAGTTATAGCTTTAAACAACCTAATCCTTACTGCTTGCCATCACTCTCTCCATATGAAATATAGTCTCAGTGGCAAGCATAGTAAGCAAAGGGCCATTGTACAAGAACAAGTTTTCACTTTCTCCTTCATTTGGTGCTAAAGTACAAACACTAACCTGGTTATTACAAATCAGGAGAAAGGCTGGGCCATCATGCACAATAATTCCTGGTTCTGTGCATCCCAGGTCAAAGCAACAGTAGGAAGGGGTCCCAGCACTTATTATTATTATTATTATTATTCAGTATTTATAAAGCGCCAATAGTTCGCTCAGCGCTGTACATTACAAAGGGGGACAGAACATGTGACAGAACAATACCAATACAATGCAAAACATGAGGGGATCGAGGGCCCTGCTCTTTCAAGCTTACAATCTAGGAGGGAGGGGATGGTGGCACAGGAGGAGATAGCTGTGGGGGATGGAGTGGTAGGAAGAGTGGAGGAGGTCGGCAAGTTAGCAGGGGGCGGGGTAGGCTTCCCTGAAGAGATGGGTTTTCAGGGTGCGCCTAAAGGAGAGGAGAGTAGGTGATAATCTGATGGGTTGGGGCAGGGAGTTCCAGAGGATGGGTGACACCCTGGAGAAGTCCTGGAGGCGGGCATGGGAGGAGGAGACCAGGGAACTAGAGAGAAGGAGGTCTTGTGAGGAGCGGAGTGTGCGTGCTGGGCGGGTACTTGGATATTAGGTCAGTGATGTAGTTCGGGGCAGTATGGTGGACAGCTTTGTACGTCAGTGTTAGGATTTTGAATTTGATCCGTTGCGCAATCGGAAGCCAGTGGAGGGATTGGCAGAGGGGGGTGGCGGAGACGGAGCGGTTGGAAAGGTGAATGAGTCTGGCAGCCGTATTCAGGATGGACTGAAGCGGGGATAGCCAGCGGCGAGGCAGGCCAGTGAGGAGGGAGTTGCAGTAGTCGAGTCGCGATATGATGAGGGAGTGGATGAGCTGTTTAGTGGTTTCTGGAGTTAGGAACGTGCGGATTTTGGCGATGTTGCGGAGGTGGAGTCTGCATGAGTTTGTTAAAGAGTGGACTTGGGGCTGGAAGGATAGGTTGGAGTCCAAAATGACACCAAGTACTCTGGCCTGCGGGGCGGGTTTGATGGTGGCGTTGTTGGACATGATGGAGAAGTCAATGGGGGGTGGTGTCCGGGCTGGAGGGAAGACAAGAAACTCGGTTTTGGAGAGGTTCAGTTTAAGGAAGTGGAGCGACATCCAGTCTGATATGTCGCTCAACAGGTGTGTGATTCGGGCGGAGACCGAGGGGGTGAGGTGGGGGTTGAGAGATAGATTTGTGTGTCGTCGGCATAGAGGTGGTAGTTGAAGCCGTGAGAGTGTATGAGTTGGCCAAGGGAGGAGGTGTAGATGGAGAAGAGAAGGGGCCCGAGGACAGAGCCTTGGGGGACCCCAACAGAGAGGGGGAGTGAGAGGGAGGTGGTGGCATTATAGGTAACGCTGAAAGAGCGTTGTGACAGGTAGGATGAGAGCCAGGAGAGAGCAGAATCTCTGAGGCCGAGGGAGTGTAGTTTTTTGAGGAGGAGGGGGTGGTCGACTGTGTCAAAGGCCGCAGAGAGGTCAAGGAGTAGGAGCACTGAATAGTGGCCATTAGCTTTGGCGGTTAGCAGGTCGTTGGAGAGTTTGAGTAAGGCAGTTTCGGTGGAGTGTAGGGGACGGAAGCCGGACTGTAGGGGATCGAGGAGGTTGTTGTCGTTGAGGTGAGAGCATAGGCGGGCGTAGACTAGGCGCTCGAGGAGTTTAGATGTAAATGGGAGCACTTACTTATGCACTTACTTGAACTGCAACTCATGTACATTGGTCCTTTAAACCCAGAGGGCCTTTGTACAACTACACAGTCTGCACAAATAGTGCATTTACTCCTGTAAATTCCCTTGTACATACCTTAGGTCAACTGGTGACCCAGGGGCAGGAGCTGTGGCCTATGCTGGACTGTGCAGTGTTTCTGTCCCCTTTCAAGTCCACAGGACTCCACTTATGTAAGGTTGCAAGTTGATAGCTTTTCTGTTAAGGTCTCTGAAGAAAAGCAGCAAATGAACAGTATTTTGTGTCCATGTCAGCTTGAAGGAGGACAGAAATGCCACCCAGCCTGGGACAGGCAGCATCAAAGTGCTGAGATAGTAAAAGCTGGCACTTTATACTGAGTACAAGTTTACTTTAAATTGATTACTCAGTTGCTATAAACAAGGCAATATTTTAACATTCAAAAGCATTCAAGAGATATCACAGGAGGGCTGATTGTGTGAATGTGTGTTACTAAACCACACTTACATTTATAGGTACACTCAAGTGAAAATTAAAATTTTATAATGTGAGCTTAGACAACCTGTTTAGTACGTCAGTTTTTAATCTACGTCACAGCTTTGCACAGACACCAACATAGAGGTTCTCCATTTGGAGGTAGTAAGGAAAGTAGTTTCTGGATCTGCAGGACAAAATAATGGTTGGGCTGCATCATTCTTTCTGGAAGAGAGCTTGCTATACAGCCAGAACATGTGATGGAGACAGTTGAGAGGCTAACAAAGTCCTTTTTCTCCTCCTCAGAGGTGCAGAGCACAACAGCTGAAAATGTGCCGTTTTGGTCTTCCTCCTCTACTGTTAATCCGGCCATAGCCCTGCACACTAATTTCAGCAACTTGCTACTGAAATAGCCACAAAATATTTAAGTTATCAGATCTTAAGGAAGAGAGTGCCAGTAGCATAGAGGGAGGGTACATAAGGCAGGGAACACAAATTGGCAGTTGTGTTCCTGTCAGCTTACTTACAAATAGGCTTGAGTGATCAGGAGGGTAGGAATGACCAGGTGGCAGACTATATGCTGGTGCCAAAGATTGTAGATAAGGAAAGTGAAGGACAGCAGCAACAAGGGAAGAATTTCTCACTTTGTACCTCTCCCCCCATTCCACAGCATTCTCCATCTGTGGCCTCAAGTGATAGGAATGGAAGTCTGTCAAG